GGTGGTGTACAGAGGCCAAATGCCAAAACAGTTATCCTTGTTCCAATATTTCTGGTCCTGAGTATACATACAATAATTAACGATTTGGAAAACTCAGAATGGAATAAAATCTGAAGTGTCTCATATTTGGGAGACTTGGTTTGAAATCCCCTCTTAGCCAAAATCACAGTCCGACTCCAGTCCAGTTACTAACTCTCAAGGCAATGTGAGGCTCTCTTCGTGCCTTTTACAGAAAATAAATAAATATTTTTAAAAAATATTTTCACCACGGTATGAAACCAAAGGGCTGCTTTGGAAGTACCCCCCATTTTTAACCTCTTGCCCTGCTGGCATTTGAGAACAAGAGAGACAAAAGAGTTATGGTCCCTTGTCAGAACCATTCTTGACATCACCTTATCCTTGCTGATTTGTACTTTAATTCCGTAAGGTACAATTGACAGCCCGTGGCACTGAATTTGCTTTTCTCCTTTCTGTTATCCAAGCAGATAATCTAAGTGACGCCTTGAAGAAGCTGAAGATAACAGCTGTTGACAGCAAAGCTGATAGCTTGGAGGGGTGTTTGGATTGTCTCCTTCAAGCTCTGGCTCAGAACAGTAAGTTTGATTGTTCCCTTCAATTTCATACCATAAGATTCAGTCAATAAATGATTATGGAAGCAATAAGTGTACCAAATGGAAGTAAAACTATAAACGGAACTGATGAAATAACTGTTTGCGCGGCAATAGCACGATGCAGAATTTAAAGAACATTTCTCTGCTGAGGAAGAAAAATTTAAAAAAAGAATGCAATAACAGAAATACTACAAAAACACAGAACAATAGCAGAAATAAGGGAACTAAAATTTTGAAGGAACAAAAATAACTGTTCCCGAAAAGATTAAAAAGTAGATTCCAGCCAAATCTTCTCGGGAAAGAACTGCATAACACCGAGCTGTCACTAACAAGGCTTATTTCTCAGTAACCATTATGCCTCTATAATTGAGGCCTCTGTGATCCAGGCTTCTAATGATTATATTAGTTTGTAGGAATATGAGAAACAGTGCTAAGATATTCTAGATGATTTCTACAGGCATCTAGTTGGTAGCTGTACAAGGAGAATTCCAAGAGATAGAAATCACCTGTTAGAAGTAAAGTCATTAGCAGTCATCTACCAGCAGTCCCAGGTGGTCAACAGTCAGCTCAACCATTGACCTGAAAACCTTGTAATTGGCCAAATCATCTAGTTCTTCTAGCTTCCTTTCTGCTGTCTCATTCTATGTCAAGTGAAGACTCTAAACAGCTCTGGAATAAAGAGTTAATTTTTAACTCATGATATACTATAGCTCTCATATTCAAGCTCAGATTTACACCTTTTCTTCCTTGCATGTATTCTTCAAATCACAAGATCAGATTGTCTTTATTTAGATCTATTACAGCTTTCCTCTTAGTTTTACAGAGTAATATATCTATTTTTCTTTCTTTTTTTTCTTTTGTTGATTTGTGATCTTTACCATTTACTCCTATTACATTACTTTTTCATAGGCATGATTGTCACCAAACAGATCCATAGATATTGACTTGTCCTGTCTATATTGGCTTTGTCTTGAGGTTTTCACATAAAACTTTTTACTAACATAAAAAGGGTACATATTAGGTTATCTTCCATAGACTTACCATGTGCAGCATGCCCTACTTGTAAAGACAAACTCTAGTTGATTTTGGCACATTTTAGCCAGTAAGTTACAAGTGGAACTAAAACCCAGTTTTACCCCAAGCATGATAATGCCATTATGTAAATTAAGATTGTTACTCTTCTTCCCCAGTGTACTGTTGGTTATTACTATTTATTGTTATTATTATGTTGTTGTTTTTGTTTTGTATTTTATTTCTTTTTTAATCCTAATATGTAGGATGCTTAGAATTGCCTTTGTGGTTGAGGTAGCATTCAAATATATTAAATAATAAATAATCTAGAAACTACTTTGCAAGCCAACGTACTGCATCTCACAGTTCGGAGGTTCATCCACTGTATCACTACCCACTCCAGATGCAAGCTGCCCATTCTGAAAATTATTTGAAAAGGCTAAGCTCTTTCTGTTTTATTTTCTATGAAAAAGCATATCCCATATTTTTAGTCCTGAAGGAATAGCACAAAGGGATATCTGTGAGTGCATAGATACGCTGCATAACAAGTATATATGACAGTAAAACAATGGAGTTTAAATCTAAAAATAAGCATTGAATACGGTATATTCAAGCAGCAGTAGCATTGGCAACTGAATGCATTTTTTGACAGCTCAGTCTCCCCCAGTTACAGGAAGGTAAGTGGCAGCAGAGGCAAGCACACCTCCCTTGGGAGGGTTTCCATAACACCAGCATTTTTCTTCATTTCAGAAAGCAGGAAATAAGAGTGCAGCCTCAGATGTCAACTGAAGAGCACAAGCTAGTGTATAGAAAGCAAGCACTCCCATTGGAAATACCGCAATTGATATCCAGAGAGAATGTCCTCTACAAGTACTTAATTAATCCCAAAGAGGGCTGTGAAATCAAAATAAATAAATGGAAGCTTCATACTATAAATTTAAAGTAGCATGTCCACCTAGCTCTTCAAGTAAATAAAAATACTTAATCAAAGATGCTCCTCCTTGTTTTGATACAGATAACTGGTTGATTACCACATATCTTAAAGTTATTTGTGTGAGAGATGAAGACCTTAATAGGAGAGATTCCTTGAAAGAAAATGCTTCAGTTAGTTGTATCTCCTAAGGCAGGATGTATATACTTACTCATCATTCATGTTTTATTACTTAAATATTGTGTTCCACTGTGAATGTTTTAATTGTATTATAAACTGCCATGGGTTTCTGTGGAGCTGGGGGAGATGGGCGGCATACAAGTTTAATAATAAAATAAAATAAACTCAATCAGTCCAAAAAAAATAAATATGCTATGATAAAGAGTAAGTAAAGAATAAAATATATTATGGCTAACAAATTAAAAGCTCGCGCTTCTAATATTATTAATAGCATATTAATAGCTGATGTCTATTTTTTGTAACAGTAATTCATCATTGTTCAGTTGTGTAGTTTTAAGATATACATAGTGGTATCGTTGTTTAAAACATATCAGTTCATTATGTTTATAATTTGAATTTAGAATTTAAGTTACAGAAATCCAACCGCTCCACAAATGTGTTAGCATGTTTTTTCTGTACAGAATGCTCCATGTGAGCACAATGACTGGGTTACCATTCAGTGTAGAAAATACTTGTTTCTTCTGATTTATAATCCTATGGTAATTCAGTGTCCTTGATCTAGCTCTTAAGAACAATCTGTGGAAATTTTATTACAACTATTATATCATAAAACTAAAATATCCTTCCTTAGATGTTTAGCTTTCACTAGACTAACAGAGTTGTAGCATGAGGTTCAGTTAGTTAATTTATTAAATTTGTATCTGAATTAAGCAGATGTGTTTTGGATGGTGATTGTGTATGTCATAAGAGGCCTGATATTAGAAGATAAATTTCTTTTTATGAAATACTTCCCCTGAGGTAGGAGAAAAAATAAGCAACTGAAAATATTTGCAATGGGGATAAAAAACAAAACCAAACCCTCAATCTACTTTCAATTTGGTAATGTTTTTGGTCCCAATTGAATTTTAATTGTTTGAGCTAACTGACATAAATCTATTGTTGAAGTTCTGTGAATAAATATTTTGTAATAGAAGGTGAGAATTATGTTTATCATAAATAATTCAAGAGACAGATTAGCGTTTTCCACTTTTAAAATTGTGAGTATAAGATTCAAACTTGCATTCTTTTGTATTTTCTCTTTGAAAAGTGTGTGAAATGTAAGGATTTAAAATGAGTGACACAGTCCCTACTGACAAAATGTTTGCAAATTGCCTTCCCTCAACAGCCCAGAACGTAGACATCATCCTGGAACTTTGAATTTGATAGCAGTTTTCTGGTTGGGTGACCTGAGCCATAGATTTGTTAAGTCTGCTAGAGTAAAGAATCACAGACATTTATAAATATAACCATGGGAAATCCTAAGAGATACTCTGGGAATATAACTTTCTGTGCTAGGACAAGTAATCAGAAAGGGAGAGTTTTCCTATTCTGATCATACCGGGTGATCTCAAGTATAAAATATTTATAGAAGGAAATATCGTGGCAGTGAAAACGTGAAGTCCAAAGTTTGGTTGGCCAAGGATAGAGGTAGTGTAAGCTAATGTGAAATGGCAAAACCCTAAAGGTAGGTGATCATATTCATATGGATGGTTTTGTTCTTAAATGGTTTTGAATGCAACATGGAAGGGAAGGGGCTTAAGTTACATAACTTAAATGTTTGAATTTTGTACAGCCCTTTATACCACTCTGTGGCTTTACATCTGCAAGCATTAAAGAAATAATTTTGAACCATCCAGAGATGTCACTGCCAAGGTTACCTGGTATTGGTAGGGTTTAGAGTTGGTCCCTGTACTGTCCCCCCAGTCCAGGTAAATACTATAACATTAGAGTTGACTGGGTGTGTCAGAGGTAGCCTTGTAAATAGTGTTGTTGTAATTTTTTCATTTAATATTATATTACCTTATATTTTACATTTCAGGTTTTCAAAACTTTCTAACCTTATTAAACAGATATCTAAGCAATTAACAATTACAATAAAACAATAAACTAGGAGACACTTAAAATTTCAAAAGCTGAAGAGCAATAGCAGGTACCCTGCAAGCTTCTGTAAAAGGATTTTCTGTAACATACTGTATGTGCCTACTCTGATTGCCACATGACAGAACTTTAAAGGCAAGAAGGGCCTCAGGTTCATAAAGGAGTGGGAGATTGTTGAGGTGTGCCTGTCTATATTTCATTACCTCGTAAGCCATTTGAATGGGGTGGAAAAATAGAGCCACCCAAGAGACACATAAAAAGTAGTCTTGGAGACTAATAATTGGACTGCTAAAGAAGGTGAAGAGCATATTTTCTTCTTTTTAAAAAAATGTGTTAATGACTTTTGCTCTTTTACCAGATATTAATTTAGATTGCTAAGATTATTAGGTTTGGTAATAGTTTCATACCGTGGATGACTGACTGAAAAAGCAGTCTGACTTGGAGTAAGATATCTTCCTGTGTTACATCTTGCACAAATATTGTTGTCAGCTGATGGCTACCTCTAGTGTACATTTACATAGGGGAAAACTCTTGTGACTTTATTCACGTCTGAAGGATGTTTTGATCAGAATAAAAATGTGTTAATGTTACAGCTTTCTTGTGGCTGTACAGTTTCTAGTTTCAACCTTTGCTTATATAAGAATGACTCACAGTGAACTGAGGATAATGAAGGGACTTTCGTTAGAGGCTGGCTTTTTCTATAGCAGTATAGAAAGGCTTTCTTTGAAGTGTTAAGTCAGCTTCAACTCTAGCTTTTCAATAAGGTAACTTCTAGAAAATCACATGGCCTATATATAGTTATGTAAAATTATGATAATCCCAATAGCTTTATAAAATCAAAACATAATATGATGTTGTAGTTAAATTAGAGGTTACCCAATCTTTTCAGACCCTGGAAGCTTGCATAATACTTCAAGGATACACACACATACCCCCCTTAAAA